ATGTTAGCTATTAGATGAAAACAGACCTACTTTTATTTGTTTATTTTTTGGCCACACCACACCAAACCACTTATGAGATCTAAGTTTCCTGACCAGGGGGTTGAACTTGGGCCACCACAGGGAAATCACTGAGTCCTAACTAGTGGGCTGCCAGGGAATTCCCCAAAAAACAGATTTACTTTAAAATATTGTTTATGACTAAGAAACTGTCTTAAAACAAATATTAATGACCTATGTTCCACATTCAAATTTGTTTACCATGCAAAGAGTTCTTACGTGCTTATATTGAAAAAAAAGCACACTTCTTTACATTTCCTATAAATTACCTCTTTTCATCTAAAATGTGAAAGGCTTTATTTCACCTAAGTTGCTTTCTTATTCATTACAAAATTATTGTTACATAAGAGATAAGTGAGAGAAGTATTTTGTCTAATGTGAATTAACCACATCACTTAATTGATTTGATCTCATAGTGTATAATTTAGATAAGCTTGTTAGATGGTTTTGTCATTTAGAATTCAAGTAATGGAAACCACCAGCATTTTGCTGGTAGCTTGTTTTGACAGATGGAGAGCCTCTATGGATGTATTTGATTATAGCAAATGGAAGTTATATGACTATATGTAAAAGATTTTACAAAGAAAACTTAATCTTCATCAGACTGCAGGTAGAGCTCTTTTAATATACTGGCATTATTTCTATTTCTAAAGCAGTATTCCCTCCTTTTTTTGTGAACAGTACTCTGCATTATCTGTGGGACTTTTTAGTGCAAAACACTTTCAAAAGTAAATTGCCTTTTAACAGGGAAAGTGATAAAAAGTTAGAGTTTGAAGTCCTTTCACAAGATGAGGTCTTCGGTTCTCCTACCGGGGGTTGTGTGATCTTGGACAAGTTACTTAACTTTTAATAATAATACAGCCTTGCTATTTTATGTCTAAAACTGAGAAACTACTAGACAGTCATTGTAAAGCTAAATGGGAATATATATGCAAATCACTTTGCATAATGCATGACACATGGTAACTTATTAGTAAATATCATTGTCACTATCATCAAATTAAATTGGTAGGAAATTTTGATGCCTCAGGAACCATCTATTTTGCAACAATAAAACAGTAAACTATTTACACTTGCATCATACAAATGGCTGTGCCATTTAATTTTATTTTCATTTCTAACAGATTTATAGAAGGAAATGGATGGAAATGGGTGCTTAACAATGTTACACATGCATATGTACACACACAAAGTCAAAACAAATTATGATTAGTAAATTTTAAGAAATAATCTTGTGCATTTTTAAGCAACGATAAAATGTAGCTCCATGACATTTATCTGAAGAAGGATTTTTTCCAGTATAATTGATTAATAGATAAGAACAAATATAGCTGGTTATGGGAAATTCTCTTTTTAAGTTACAATATGTATGAAATCTATATTTTCCTGACTTTTATATTCAAAAGGTTAGTATTTCAGTATGTCATTTTATGTCATATTTTCAGTTTAATTGATCCATGTGAGAAACACCCCTGCACAAAGAATATTGGCTTCTATAGAGGTGGCTTTTCTGTTTTTAAATGTATTCTGTATTTTCCTCTGAAGGATGTAATTCAAAATGACAGCACATTAAAAAGAGCTTGACACAAGTCATGTAAAGTTTCAAGGGGATTAATTTTTTATTCATGCAAAATGTGAAAAACCCTCTTCTTTCTCATGATTCAGAAATCTCTCTCACCCTGTTATATTTTCAGGCTATAGTTCAAATGTGCATGCAACACTTGCATATTTGAAGAAAGAAAATAACTAGATCACAGTGGTCCATTTGGTACATTTATTCTACCCTTTCATTTCTGTTTACAGTGACCATTCAACATATGTCATGTGACTTTTTGCAGATGTGTCTTAAAAATATGGTTTTAGAGTTGAAGGTGAAAGAAAACAATAGATTTTCATTTTCATATTATGTTGAATTGGAAGAAATTTGAACTGCAGAATCAAAAAAAAGTTTGCCAGTTTTGATGATCTTGGGCAAGTTAATCTCTCTAAGCCTCAGTTTTCTTAACAGCAAAATGTGGAATATAAAGACCTTGAAGTATTTCCAAAGAAATGATAAAGTTCCTGACACAGCATGTAAATGCTCTAAAAGTTCAAATACCCTTACCTGTCGATCCTTCTTTCTGGGTCTCAACTAGTTGCTCTTAGACCTACAGATTCAACTTTGAATAAATTCCAAACAGGCCTGCTGCTTTATCCAGATCCTTTTCCCTGGCAAAGACCTGGAGTTGATTTTCCTGTTGCCCTGGGACCTGAGTGTGCCATCTTGGTCCCCTGACTATACTCTTGTTTCTCTCCCATTGAGACATTTTCATTTCCTTGTTGTACTCCAGTCTATTTGTCTGATGGCTGCACAAACTTTTGTGAACTACCCTTCATTCATGTTCAGAAGCTGTTTCTTTCCAATGGTTGAGTTTTACACTCCTCATCTGAAAATTTTTACCATCATCCTTGTGAATAAGAGTGTTAACACCACCTAAGAAGATCTCTGTTGTCTCCTATACACTAGACTGAACCTATTTTATATGCACAAAAAGGCTTCTATAGAGGTGGCTTTTCTGTTTTTAAATGTATTCTGTATTTTCCTCTGAAGGATGTAATTCAAAATGACAGCACATTAAAAAGAGCTTGACACAAGTCATGTAAAGTTTCAAGGGGATTAATTTTTTATTCATGCAAAATGTGAAAAACCCTCTTCTTTCTCACGATTCAGAAATCTCTCTCACCCTGTTATATTTTCAGGCTATAGTTCAAATGTGCATGTAACACTTGCATATTTGAAGAAAGAAAATAATTAGATCACAGTGGTCCATTTGGTACATTTATTCTACCCTTTCATTTCTGTTTACAGTGACCATTCAGCATACGTCATGTGACTTTTTGCAGATGTGTCTTCAAAGTATGGTTTTAGAGTTGAAGGTAAAAGAAAACAATAGATTTTCATTTTCATATTATGTTGAATTGGAAGAAATTTGAACTGCAGAATCAAAAAATAGTTTGCCAGTTTTGATGATCTTGGGCAAGTTAATCTCTCTAAGCCTCAGTTTTCTTAACAGCAAAATGTGGAATATAAAGACCTTGAAGTATTTCCAAAGAAATGATAAAGTTCCTGACACAGCATGTAAATGCTCTAAAAGTTCAAATACCCTTACCTGTCGATCCTTCTTTCTGGGTCTCATCTAGTTGCTCTTAGACCTACAGATTCAACTTTGAATAAATTCCAAACAGGTCTGCTGCTTTATCCAGATCCTTTTCCCTGGCAAAGACCTGGAGTTGATTTTCCTGTTGCCCTGGGACCTGAGTGCGCCATCTTGGTTCCCTGACTATACTCTTGTTTCTCTCCCATTGAGACATTTTCATTTCCTTGTTGTACTCCAGTCTATTTGTCTGATGGCTGCACAAACTTTTGTGAACTACCCTTCATTCATGTTCAGAAGCTGTTTCTTTCCAATGGTTGAGTTTTACACTCCTCATCTGAAAATTTTTACCATCATCCTTGTGAATAAGAGTGTTAACACCACCTAAGAAGATCTCTGTTGTCTCCTATACACTAGACTGAACCTATTTTATATGCACAAAATCCAAAACAGGATTTTAAATCACTATACCACCTTTTATGTAGAAGTATACTGATTCTTCAAACTAGTCTCCTCAATTAGCTATTACAAATTGCCACAAATAAATAGTAAAAATACTAAAGTCAGTGTTTTTGAGGTGAGAACATGTTCTTTGTTAATGCCATATGCTAGAGAATCAAACACATTATTTTTTTTCCTTTTAAACATATATTTATACTTTTTTGTTTCCCTTAATAGAAGAGTAAGGGAAAGGGATGCTCTAGGACTCTGTTATTAGTCATAACATATTATTTGCTAGCTATTTGTCACACACATCCCATTTGCTAAAGTAGGGTGATTTCTAATTGCCAATCTTATAACATTTGTTCAGTATACTGACTTTCTGATCACTAACTAAAGATATTTTCACAAAAATATGTTAGTAGTTTTAAGGGAAAAAATGACCAATATTAAAGTATGTAAAACCATACAGCTAAAGGAATAAAACATCCATTTAGCTAAATGTTCTCAGTGTTATATACTTTAGTAGATAAACTCGCCTGGAATTAGATGAAGAAAATCATTTTGCATTGTTTTATAAAACTGTTCATGCAAAACAGTGACTTTCTCAAGTTCCTTATAGAAACAATGATAGAAATATTCAGTTTCTGTATTCTAAGTTCTAGGAAAACTGAACTGCAATTCTCAAAAAGTACCGAAAATCAAACAGGTACTTATTGGTGTTAAATGTAATACTGCAAAAGAAAACTAGATATAACACAAGTGAGAGGTATTCATTTTCAACAAGAAACATAGAATTACAGAAAAGAGATAGGTGTGAATTATTCTATTATCATAGAAACTGTAGTAATTTTCACCTACTGCCAAACTCAAATAAAATGCAACTAAAGTAATGAAATAGCATCACTATATCATATGATATCTCTAAGGAACTATACAGAAACAATTCAACATATATAATTGATAAGGTGAAGACAGAAAATTTTATGTTAGTTATATGATATAACAAATAGTACAGTGGGATGTACATCATAGGTCAAATTATACATTAATTTTCACATTTGTATTACTTTTTCAATTAGTAAGAAATTAGACAAGATTCCAACCTACTATGAATATTTTACTTTGATATGAATTGATAACATAACTTGTATAAATATTGACTCATTTATGTTATTTTCTATTAAAATCATGCTATGTATGACTCTAATGGAAAAAAATGTAATTCTGAGGACATTTAATTTTTAGCTTCTGCTTTTTAAGGAACAGAAGTGGCTGGAAAATCATTGCAAGTTTTGTAAAATTCAATAAAAAGTAAGACTTTTTAAAAAAGCTGCACTGATTTAGACTTAACAGGAAAGAACGTACTTTTGGGGAATCGAGGTGGATTGTCATTGACATCCGTGAGGGTGATGTTGACTATTGTCGTTCCAGCTAACCCTCCCAGCTGTCCGCCCATATCCTTGGCTTGGATGAGGACTTGGTATTGTTCTTTGACTTCCCTGTCCATGTTTGGCAAAGCTGTTCTAATAACACCTTAAGGGGGGAAAAATAGAAAACAAATATCACAAATGTTCAGTTTTCCAAAATAGTCCACAAGAAAATGATTCTATATAGATTCTTTAGCAAAGACATGCTAACAAAAATTATGTTTTTTTTTTTTCAATTAATTTAGTTTAATCAGAGGCTAATTACTTTACAATACTGTAGTGGTTTTTGCCATATATTGACATGGATCAGCCACGGGTGCATGTGTTCCCCCATCCTGAATCCCCCTCCCACCTTCCTCCCCACCCCATCCCTCTGGGTTGTCCCAGAGGACCGGCTTTGAGCGCCCTGCTTCATTCATCGAACTTACACTGGTCATCTATTTTACATATGGTAATATACAGGATTCAATGATATTCTCTGAAATCATCCCACCTTATCCTTTGCCCACATACTCCAAAAGCCTGTTATTTACATCTCTGTCTCTTTTGCTGCCTTGCATATAGGATCGTCGTTACAATCTTTCTAAGTTCAAAATATATGCATTAATATACTGTATTGGTGTTTCCCTTTCTGACTTACTTCACTCTGTATAATAGGCTCCAGTTTCATCCACATCATTAGAATTGACTCAAACACATTCATTTTTATAGCTGAGTAATATTCCATTGTATATATGTACCACAACTTCCTTATCCACTCATCTGCTGATGGGCATCTAAGTTGCTTCCATGTCCTAGCTTTTGTAAACAGTGCTGCAATGAACATTGGGATACATGTGTCTTTTTCAATTCTGGTTTCCTCAGTGTGTATGCCCATCAGTGAGATTGTTAGGTTGTATTGAACCAGAGATCAAATTGCCAACATCCACTGGATCATAGAAAAAGCAAGAGAGGTCCAGAAAAACATCTATTTCTGCTTTATTGACTACGCCAAAGCCTTCGACTGTGTGGATCACAATAAACTGTGGAAAATTCTGAAGGAGATGGGAATACCAGACCACCTGACCTGCCTCTTGAGAAACCTGTATGCAGGTCAGGAAGCAACAGTTAGAA